CGACAGCCGACCCTCCTTCCAAGAGGAGCCGCCTACGCCTTACAGGTCTAACGCCACCCCGTGACGCCGTGACCCCGGGCCGGGCCCGCCGCCGAAAGTGGAGGCACCCCCGCTGCTGTTGGACTTCAGCTCTCGGAGGTTGTGACTTGTCGTTCCCGTTCCCAATTGCGGAGGGACGACGATTCCCTTCCACGTCGGGGAAGCCATGCCGTCCAACCCTTCGTCGTGCCTCGGGAGGGACCTTGACGGGTAGGCCACGAACCGGGCCACCTCCCGGGGGCGCCACACACCACTCGTTCGTTGCCGGCCGACTCAGCCAGCAATCGTATGACAGCAGAACGCCATCTCTTATTTTCGGCGCTCCTCGGCTCCCAAGACAGCCGCAGCGGGGCGGGGCCAGACGGACGGACGCCCACGAAACGTGCAACGGGTACTATCACGGACGTGCGCCGCCGTGGGTACGCACGTATGCGGCGGGAACCTCCGCCTCGCGGAGTCGAGTGCGAACAGGCCAGGCCATGCCATGCCATGCCATTACCCAGCCATGCACCGGGCATCGCTGTGGACATGGTACGGCGATGCGGATGACCATTCTGCCCTTGCTTGCTGGCTGACGATCCCTCCCCCGGGCGCGCGGGCGGGCAGGCGGGAGCTTAAACGGCAAATGTTGGAGACTCGCCGTCCACCACGGCCAGGGGAGGGTGGGCGTGGCAGCCTCGGGAATGCCCGTGGGATGGAGACTAGGCCCCCTCCCCCGTCCCTGTTGGCCTGGGATGCGAGGGACGAACGAGGAACGCCCGTCCCTTGGCGTTTGTGTGCAGCCTAGGAGACTGAGCAGCGTGCGTGGGAGTGTGTGCGTGTGCAGTGTGCGTGCAGGCAAGGCGAGGCGAGGGCGGGGAGAGGGAGGAGGAGGAGGAGGGGGAGGAGGAGGAAGCGGAGGAGGGGGGAGGGGCGCAGACTCAGTTGCATCATCGGGTGCAGGATGACACGACAGGCAGCAGGAGCAGGATCGTGGGAGCAGGGCCAAGACAGCGGAGACAATGGCATTGTCCTCGTCCTGCCCTTCCCACCCCCCGCTCCCAGCCAGCCAGCCAGCCAGCCTACCTACCTTGCCTACCTAAGGTACCAACCTACCTGCATGCCCTCGCCTTGTTGGAGAGAGCAGGGGAAAAAAAAGGGCTCACGCACGCCAAGTCGCGCTTCCTGACTCGGGAGGGGGGCGGCGAGATGCTGCCCATGTCCACCCCCCTGCCTGTGCAGTAGCCGTGGAAGCAGCGGCATCAGCGCAGCAGCAGCAGTAGCAGCAGTACGTAGCAGCAACAGTGACGCATTGGTACAGTAGGCACAGGGCAAGGTGGGAGGGAGCAACAGCAGCGAGGCTATACCGGCCGACCCTTACTAGCGGAACCCAAGGTCCCCCATATCGTCGCCGTGCCGCAGGGTGTCGCATTGCATTCTCGATCATGCAGGCACGAACTATAGATCGTCGGTATCCACTCACCAAGCTGCTGCGTCCTTTGTGCTGCTCTGCTCTGCACTGCACTGCCTGCTGCTCTGCCTGCTGCTTGTGCTTGTGGTGCTTGCTGCATGCAGGTGTCCCTGTTGCCGCTGCCGCGGCTGCCGTCGAAACGACGACACAGTCATGGGGGAGGGGGCCTGGCTGTAATTACCACAAACGCACCAAGATGCGCGTACCTTACATCCATCCATCCATTCATCATCCGTACAGTTACATACATACTTACATACTTACATACATACATACATACATGCGTACATGCATTGCAACTTTGCCGGCAAGAATTAATTCCTTCCACATACCAGCAAACCTGCCCTGCAGCCTCATCAGCCTCGTTCGTTTACACACACCCATCCGCGCCCCTCTTCCATCCATCCATCCATCCATCCCTCCCTCCCGAAACCCTTGCCCTGTCTGTCTCCCACCCCGGGCCCCAGGGACCGGGGTCGGAGAAGGAGTCAAAGCAAGGAAGGAACGAAGGAAGGATGGTGTAAACGGTATGTAAGTCCGAAGATGGAGAAAATCAGAGAGCAGAAAACACACACACATACACACACAGAGAGAGGGGGAGAGTGAGAGGCAAGCAAGGAAGGAAGAGAGAGGGGCGGCGGCTGAAGAAAACCCAGTAGCATGCATGCATGCTTGCAGGCACAGACCGGCCCAGGCACATAACTACATCGTCGAGACGAGTGGACGCCACAAGCGAGAAGGCGCGGCCCACGGCCCACGGCCCACGAGGCTTATGTCGGGCCGTTGGAGCGGGCGCCCTCCACATGGCCCTGACGAACGACAGCCATAGATTAAAAAATATATGGGAAAGGAACATGGAAGAAAAAAAAAAAACCGCCGTTGCGGCGGGGACCACCACAAGGTAATGCAGATACGTAGGTAGCAGGCAAGTAAGCAAGCAAGCAAGCGCATCATAGCTGAAGAGCCGCCGTGGGGAGCTGACAGGCACGGTCTGGCCGGCCATATCATGCGCCTTTCTCCGGCGTAGGCCCACAAACTCAACGAAATGGAAACATATACCTCTGCGTGCGTGTCGGCGAGCGAGCAGACGCGATGATGGATAGAGGCTGACTCCCCCTTCCCCTCGGCCAACTGAGGTGATTATTCCACGATACGGGCAACCCGTCAACGCAGCCGCAACCGTGGTACCTGCAGCGCAGCTCTCGTCTGACACGTCTCTTTCTGCGCGCCATTTTGCCAATCGTCGTCCCGAGCCGGGCCCTCGTGTGTCTGCTGCCGCTACAGCTAGCTCATGCGGCTGCTGGTGCTGCGAGCTGCTGCTCCCCCCTCGTCTTCCTCCTCCTCCCCTCACGTCCCCACCACCGATCCGGCCGGGAGGCTGGGCGCCGGCGGGTCCGGCCGATCAAACGGCTCAAAGCCAACGTGCCTGTCGCGCCGCCCCGGGGGGCGTCTCTCAGGGACGAACGGGCGGACTGACGAGGATCCACGAGGAAAGCCACAGCCAAGAGAAACCCCCCCGGGCCTCGGCCACCGCCCGGCCGCGCGTGATCTCGTCAAGTCTCGGCCGTCGTCGCCATCGTGAGCAGGGCCACACATGGAGGGCCCTCTCCGCAACACCATCGTACTGCATCCAACCAATCTTTCCTCCCGCTTGTCGTTGTTGGGAGCGCGCTCCAGCCTCCCACGTAAGAAGCAGGGCACGCGTGCCTTCCAAATGGTGCCGCTACTGCAAGCCCGCCGCCCCCTTCCACCACGCAGGAACCCGTCGCGCGCCTCGTGGTGGTTCCATCTGACGGGTCCAGCAAGTTCCTGCGCGCCAGGCCGCCCGCCCGGCCACCCGTCTCTCGGCCGGCGGACCCGGGAAGCTCGCTCCGCGGTGCGCCGATTTGGGAATTCCATCCGCGGCGGGATCGGACCCTGCAGACGGAGACCGTTGCGCCCTTACTTCTGGTTTGCAGCGCCGCAACCGCTACCGAGGGTCCAAGTTCCCGTTGGACACGCAAGGCAAGATAGTTCGCCGCCTAGCTACCGCGGCTACTCCGTACTACTGCTGATGCCAACAATCGCTCTGCGCAGATGCTACTGCTGCAGCTACCGCTCTAGGGCCTGTTGGCGACATCGACACTAAACGTGGTGCTGCCACTCTGCTGCAGCTACCACCCTAGGGCCGTTGTCCGTTGATCTTCTGATGCCGCTGACACCGTTGCTGCTGCTGCGGCCCAACAGCGTTATCGCCGTTTTGCTGGGGGAGGGAGACGATGCATCCAAGCGAGGATGCAGGCGGGAATATTGCTGGCGTGGTGTCTGGGCCGATAACGGCCTCAGCGGGGGAGAGGGGAAGGGACAAGCGCAAGGCAAGCAAGCAGGGGTTTCGTAAAGTGCTTGCAGCGCCGAGCCCAGGGATGCCGAACGCATATTCGTCGGGCCTTGCAACCTGGCATCCCAGGGCCCAGGGGTTTCCAAGGCACAACGCTCTGCAGTCTGCACGGCCGTTGTCGTGGCCGCAAGGGGAGGGGGCACATGAGGACCCTTGGATCTCCGGCCGAGATGGCATGCCACCACCATCACCAGTGACCACCACGACGGGACCGGGGGAAAAGGCCGCGCTACAATCGCCGATGATGCAGGTCAGCAACTAGGCTTCGATTGGCGCATCGTCCCCTGACGTGGGACAAGGATGTGAAGATTGGGAGGGGAAGAGGGGCATCGTTTTCGTTTCGTCCAAGGCATCGTCAACCAAGGATGCGTGCCTGCAAGCAACAAGCAGAACGGCACTGGCGCTGTGGTTCTTCCGCGTGCCCGAAGTGGGCTCTCGTGCAGCGCGCGAACGCAAACATGACCAGAGGAGCCGTGTGTAAGTTAAACCGTGCGTGCGTGTCCAAGCCAGGGATGGTAACGCGGGCTCCTTCTTCTTGACAAGTGCCGTGCCGACGAGTTGCGACCAAAAAGCCAAGGCAGCAAGACATGACACCCTTCGTAGTAATACCACATGCTCTCTAGCCAGGCTGCTAGACCAGCCCCATAAGGCTCGCTAATAATACCCGGCGCGCAGGTATAGGGGTCCTTGGGCTTAGCAACCAAGGCAAGCGCATGGCGCCTTGGTCTGTAGTAATACCAAATACCTTCTAGTTGGAGCCACCGACGTGCTCGCTAGCGGTTGTGGATTCAATGCGTGTGTGATGCAACTTGGTGCGGCGAGGAGAAAGTGAGCGAGCGGCCTTGGCATGTTGATGATTTTCCGCCTGCCCGGTTTTGAGAGCGTTTTGCGGTTGACCCGTTGTCGAAGCCCTGGTCGCCTCTACCCGGTTCAACCCGCTGTTGGGTTACCCCCCGGGGGGGGGGGGGGGGGGGGGCAAGGACGATCACGGGAAAAGGAAAATGAACACAGACAAAAAAAAATCAAACCAAACTCTAAACCAATGCCATAGACAGACGGACCGACGACACATGGCTGTGTATTTAGAATTCGACGTCTGGTTCCGGAGCAAAAAGATCAAAAGAATAAAGCAACTGCCCCCACGCTGGATCGAACAGCGGACCTCATCATATCACATCTGGTACGAGTGATGCGCTCTACCACTGAGCTATAAGGGCTGGTTGTTGAGAACATGCCGCTAATTTAGTACTAAGTACTCACCTTTCTCGCCCCACCGTCAGCCACTCGCTTTATCAAGTCGCTCGATCCGTTCCTTTGGTCTCGAGGGGTGGGGCGGAGCGGAGCGGGGCGGACGGGGCCTACGCCGCGCGTTGTTTGGGGACCGCGGGGGGTTGCTTCCATCGTTCGTATCTGATGCCGATGTTTGACTAGAGTGCAGCGCAGCACTTGTCCCGTCAGCCTTTCAGCCTTGGGTCCTGCGAAGCCGCCGCATCGAGCTTATGCAATGGCCAATGTGAATCCGCCCGGATTGGCCGGCTGGTGCAACTGGCATCGTCGAGCACTGTTCGGAACTTCGTGCCCACAGGGCAGCCCTCCACAGTTCAGGCAGCGGTCCATGGCCGGGCTGTGGGACTCGTCGAACCCGTCCCTGACCTCCGCCCTCCATCAGAAGAGCTGTCAGGTATGGACGTCCACTGCGCCACCCTTGTCGTGACCAGTGGCGGCTAACATGCGAAGGCGAACATCCCCCAGCTCGCTTCCCATTCGCCGGCGGCTGGCGCGCGAACAAGGTCATTTCTGGCTCCTCCGCTCGGGTGCAGGCTCGACGAGGTAGACGATCAACATCCGTTCGAGGCGCGTTTGCTATTGTTGATCGTGACAAATTGTGTCTCCAGTTGACCGATTAGGCCTTCATACGCAGGTCCAGATTCCAGAACAGGCGGTCATGGACCAGGACCGCGACCTCTCTGTATCCACTTACTGCAGACCCATAGGTCTTGGTCGTTTCTGTCATGGGGAGCAGAAGCATACATGGAGCCTGCCTGATTACTATCCAGGAGTTCTCTGATGTAACTGTCTAGCTGGGACGCCGACGGCATTACACGGGATCCGTTCCCTTGAACGGCTTTGGCGTCCAGCGGAGGGATGAGGGCTTGCTCCGAAGGGAATCCTAGGTGGGCTGGGGAACCTTCGGTGAGACCAATCCGGAGGGAACACTGCCATCCCTCGAACCGGGGAGAGGACATGGAACAGGGAACTTATACCGACGGCATCCGTCCCGCAGCATCGTCCGATAATGCACGCTGCCGTCAAGCTTCCTGGTTCTAGACCTGCGGAGACTGATCCGAGGCGCCATTCTCGTCGGGATCAACGAGTCGTGCGGCGAAGACATTTCCGCGGACACAATGCCCAATACAAGGAGCGTGGTCGATAGAATGAAAGCTGGAACCAGCCTTGAGAATGGCGAGCGAGACCACTAGGTGATGTCCAACGGATGTTCAGTGGCCAGTACGTTGTCGTAGAGAAAGACGGGGTGTGCTGCATCTTGTTCTTCGAGTGCCCGCCCGCCCAAAGCATCAATCCCCCAACCACACAGAATGTCTCAGTTTTCTGTAAAGGGAAGTCATGCTTCCGTTATGATGGCGTCGTGACGGTTCCAATGCTGAGCACGAGCTGTGAGGCCTTGGTAGGACTCTGAACGCTCGGGCAACTGGCCACCCGAGGTGGGAGTGACGGAACAGGGATGTTTTCAGCGTCATGCGGGGACAAACGTTGAAAGCAGGGAGGATGAGTTGCCCTTTTAGCCGGAAATCAGCTTCGCTTCTGCACACTTGGACGCATGTCAGATGAGAATTGGGAAAGGGGGATAAATCATATGGGAGGAGGGCGGTGCGTCGCCGAGCCAATTGCCCAGAGGGTTCGTCGGGCTTGGTTCGTCGAGGTGTGGTGGGTGTGTTTGCGGCCCAGGGATGCAAATGTTGCTCTAGGGATGCACAACAAGATTGCCATGTTTGGTACGACGCTGTAAAGAGCCGTGTGGTGTAGCAAGATGCACCATGAGCGGTGGAGTATTGCTCACGAGTTCCCGCCGGTCGAGTTCGCTTAGAGCAGATCGGCACCTCCCTCTCAGTTGAGCAAAGGCCACGGCCAAAGCAATTTTTTGCGGGCGAACCCCACCTCGGCCAGCGGCGGCCATTGCCCGATTGTCGAAATGGTATGCCGCATCCCGTCGCGCGCATATGACTGATCACTTGGGTTGACGAGATGTCGGCAAAGCGACTCGGGCGACAAAGGTTTTGCCACTGCGCTGGCGATAGCCGATGCCAAGCTCGAGCGCATTGGTATGGCATGACGTGACTCCCGATGTGGAAAGCTACTCTCGATAGCGCGAACTGGCATTCGGGCGCGATAATGAAATCACCAAGCAGGTAACAAGATGTGAGGGTGCTGCCTCTCGGAAGAGCGCTATTGGATGTCCCGACGGTGACATACATACTCCTTGTGCTGTGATGGCCAAGTGTATCATGCACATGCCGCGTCGGAACGCACTGAACGCAGGCGTGAAGAGCCTTGAAGCAAGCGGCGGGACCGAGTAGGCTGCGCATGTACGAGTACATTCAGACCTCCCAGTCGGTAGGTGCCAATCCAAACACTGCAGTGGAGTTTCAGGATGGTGCCCGACACGTCATGTGGACGGAACGCTGTCTGCGCTCGTGGAATCGGCTGGCTTCGGTCTGTGGCCCGAGTTGGTCCCGCGAGCCGGTTGAGATGGATCTGTCTGTACTCCAGAGCTGTCCGGCGCGCAGAGAATAGGTGTCGACGGCGCCCTCGTCTTGTTCCTGGCGACAAGGTCTCATCCCCACGGCGACCTGGGCCCATAGCCGCATGTAGGGCGGACGGGCGGCGGCTATTGTCTAATTGAGTTTGCAGTGTCCAGGGTCAGAAAAGAGGGTCGCTGCTTCACACCGCACGAGCACGCCGTCGCCGTCTGCTGCACTGCCGGATCAACAACGGCGCTCGGCAGGGAATACGAGGCGCCACGACCAAATGGGTCCACTGGTCGAGGTCGGCAATCTCCATTGCAACCCTCGGGTTGGGGTGATGCCATTATAGCCAGGGACTGCTCGGGAGGAGGGCTGCCAACCCGTTTTGGCAACGCCTGGAGGACCGACTAGTCAGCGATGGCCAGCTATCAGATGCGACCTCGCTCGCACCGACGACCATGTTCTCACGAGAGACAGAACCTAGCTATGTGTCAGACGCTGCGAGCTGCATGTGATATGTAAACTGAATGGCCGTACTCGTTCAGTCCGTGAGCCAAACCTCTTGCGAGTCGAGGATGGTAGATGGACCGACGGTGAGAGAAATGTGATCGAAGCTGCATACGGCCGGAAGGGCTGCAACCCCATGACGGTGACCATTGTCGGCGGCTTCTCAGTGCCGGCTGGTACGAGGACATAGGTAATGGCGAGAGTGATTCGATGTGAAGCAGCTTATCTGAGTGCTGGGCATGCGGCGCAGCATCGGCTACCGCTAGTGGCTTTTGTGAGTGTGAGGGTGAGCGTACGTAGGACTTATCGTGTGCCGTCCAACGTCGGTAGGGCGAAGTGACATGGGGCGAGATGGGATAAGGCACGCCAGCCCAGATGGCATCAACGCCGTTTGAGCAGCACAATCTGGTCCTGCAGCGACGGAGGTCAAGCTCCAGATGCCAAACTGCTCGGGCCTCAGACCCCAGCAAGGTTGAGAGAGGTGGCGAGCACGTCGGGCACGGCCAGACGAGCGGATTTGGATTTCGGCGTCGAGTCTGGTGTGATCTCGCCCTTCCACGTGCAAGCATCCTCCCCTTGCTTCGTTCCTGGACTGATCGCCAATAAGCGGAGATGGGCACGTCCCAGATGCCCTTCTGCTGTGTGAGACCCACAGAAGCACGAAACTCTCTTTTCTTTTTCGCATCGTGAGCCGAAGTCGACGAGCGGCGAGAAATGTCGCCCGAAGAGGCAAAGGCACGCTGGACTCTCAGCTCCCTTTGGGCTGTCGAAAGATGGTTCAGGAGAGGACAAGGCAGTCGTGAGTGGACAATCGGAGACCCCTCATCGGTTCCTCTCGGCGAGATATGGCTGTCTCACCCACGAACGATGTTTGGGATGGAAATTTGCCGTCGACTACATTCCAGGACGTCTCCCATTCCATCAACCAGCCCGGCCCAAGTGTGGAGCGACAACGACGGCAGCGTCATTGTCGTGCCACTGGCTTGGGTGACGTGGTTCTTCAGGGAGGTGGCTGGCAGAGCTTAAACGTGTACAAGACGGGCGGACGGGGCCCGAACAGTCGGCTCTGGGCTCAAGGAGTTGCTTCGACGACGACAGACGGCACCTCGTCTAAAGGCAGGAGCGCAAGAGAAGAACTCCCTAGGAGCCGCATCGTCGGGGCTCGGCGGCCATCTTCCGCCGGTCGCTTGGGCAGATGGCGACGGCGGGGATGGCGGCGACGACGAGGACGTGGAGTCCATCTGCATGTTTCTGTGTCTGGTGGCGAGGGAGTGGCGGACCCTGGTCTGTCTTCCCAGACGGGAGGGGTCCCATCCCGTCTGCCCTGTCCGATCTGACGCCAAGTGCCAAACCGAGGGCCCCTGCCCAGCGGGTGGAGGACGGGCGACGACGCTGAGAGGGCGGCGGCGCGTCGGCAATGACCGTTCATGCATGCAAGGTCTCCGTTGACAAGCCGTGGCTTTTCCCCACCCGATCTATCATCAGCAACCACCACGCCCCGGAGCACGAACCAGCGCTAGGTAAAGTACCTACCTACAGGCTACGAGCAGCAGAGGGACTTGGTCGGCGGTCGTGACTCGGCCTGAAGGGCGCGATGCGTCGTTTGATTAGAACTGGGACGGCTGCGGCGCGAGAGCTTGATCCATCCGAGGGTGCCGTGGCCGCCTTCCATGGCAGCACTCGTTTCGTTGCGTCCTGCGCGGGCTTGCAGTTGGCGCCGTTGCCATTAGTCGAGTGTCGTTTGTTTGCTCGACCGGTGCGTGCTTGGAGGCCAAACAGCAACGACGCTTCGGCGGATGGTATGGCTTCCGCCGCCCGTTGCGGACGAATGGCTCTTGGCTCCAACTCGTCGACGGGTGCGGACGCGGGGTGCACGGGGACAGACAGACATCAGGGAAGCTTCTGAGATGCAACATGACCCTCCCGTCTCTGTGCCTGAGTCGCAA